GCCCTCCAGCATGTAAGTAGAGAACATCAGCTTCTGCGGATCAGTACACTACATGACCCGGAAGATCTTGTCCAGCGATTGCAGTCATCTTGCTGCGGCAATAGGGTCCACAAACCCATCAAAAGAAGGCGGCTTATGGTTTCTGAAAGCGTTCAGCCGATGGTCGATCACGTCACGGTCCTCAGCAGGCTCCAGATAGGGTTCCATCACCCTAGTGACATGAGTAGCACTACCAATGTGACTCAGGGTCTCATCCTGAACACTAGGTGGAGGCGGTGGCGGTGGTGGCGGTGGAGGTGGTGGCGGAGGATACTGGCCAACAGCAGGACCAGCCCTCATCTCCTCCAACATAACCCGCATCATGGTCATGTTCGCCAACCGATTTGCCTCCAGAGCATCCTCCGTGGCCTTCTGGTTCGCTTCTCTAGCAGCATCCATCATTGCCACATTGGCTAATCTAGTGGCCTCCTGCATCTCAGCCAATGTAGTCAGGATTGGGTCGGATTGACCCTCAACAGTCTCTCGTGTTCTCCTGGGTATTACCATGACTCTTGCACAAGTTACAGACATTATGAGTTGATCAGGCCCACGCAGTGTGATCACATTTGCATCATCATAATAAAACCCAACGGAGCAACACACAAGACAGACACAACCAAACATCCTAGCTATTGCAATACATACAGGTTTTTCCCTCGAACCATTGCTCTGATACCATAAATGTAACACCCCGTATATATCCGGTAATGTTATCATACTATCGTATTAAGCAGCGCTTAATTAAAAATGCTGAATATCTTTTTCTTTCAATTATGATGTCATTATCATTACCAACTTGCTTATTAATCAATTAATAAAACATCGTCTATATGAAATTGCAATAAAACAACTAACTGAAAATACCTTATAACATAGATAATATAAGTGTGGCTCTAGTCACGGAACTACAACAACGTAGACCGGACCATCTAACAGTTTATACAACTCCTTATGAGCCCTTTCCTTCCATTTCTCTTCACTAAACACTTGGCGCTTGTGAGTAGGATCCTTATGAGAGTGGGAGGGGGCTGTGTTCTTGTTGTTCAGCCACTGTTTGGGTTGTTGAAGGGGGGCTGACTTACTTGGTGGGTTGTGGGAGCCTTGGTCTTGGTATTTTGAGGTGCAAGAAGCCTTCTTTGTGAAGAAAGATCCTTGCTTGGGTGGTATTTTCGTGCACCCTTGAAGTCAGTACCTTGGAGTTGTTGTGTGAGCTCCAAGAGCACCCATCTTGCTGAGTTTAAGCTGTGGTAAGTTGTACCAACCTTGGTCTTGAGTTTTGTTGCTTAAAGATGAAATCTTGGCATGTTTAATGAGTTAAACAAGTAACCAACTGTCATATGAACGTAAATGGACCTTAAGATGCATGTTTAAGCTTCTGGAAGTGTTAAAAATGGAACCTTGGAAGGATATCTTCGCGAAATGCAGAAACTGCATTCTGTCGCAAAATATCCGGATATCTGCTCGTAAAATATCCGGATATTGGATATCCGGATACAGGGATCTGGATATCCGGATATTTTCAGAAAGATATCTGGATATTGCATATCCGGATATGCCCCGAGGAATATCCGGATATTCTGGGTTTGCGAGGAACAATAGCGTACTATTCATCTAGAACTGGTCTATGGGTTTGTGGACCCTAGTTTGAGGAAGTTGAACTTCTGTAATTAATTAATGTAAGTCAGAATCATGTGATTAAGGGCTTATGGCTTGGTGAGAAGCCTTAAGACGTAAAACATAATGAAAAGGCGTTGTCTTTATGTTGTATACTTGTAGAGTATGATTGTTGATGTATTGTTGGTTCATAACAGATTGTGAATCTGCTGTGTTTGGACTTTGAGCTGTGGACTCTTGGCTTTGGGTGTTAGCTTGCAAGGTAAGCTTTCGTGTCATCGGTTTAGTCATGTTGTGGTTCCACCATGTTCCATGGGGGTATGGTTATATGCATGCTGTGTTACATGCTTTGGATATTTGAAATGCTGTTGAGCTTTATGTGTAATGACTTTTAATATGCATGTGTTGTTCCATCTTGACGGTAAGCCTGAGTATGTGGCGTCATACAAGACGGTGATCCGGGGTGGATGCAAGTGGCGTCTTGCACTATATGTGGGTATTAGACGTATATAAATCCTGCATTTCTCTGGCCAGTAGAATAGAATTAACACACATGACATGATTATCTGCTACATTGCACTATTTTAGAACTGATGATGATGAACTGCTTTTAAACTTATATTGCACATGTAAGTGAGCTTGGGGTGGAAGATCCTTGAGGACCCCTTGCCTTACTGAGATTTCTTGTTCAGAGATCTCACCCCACGTTTGGGGAATGTTTATTTCAGGTTCAGGTAGTATGGTGACTGATGCCTCTGGCGGCAGGAGGCCAGAGCTTAGCTGATTATGATATTTATGCTGTATTGCTGACATGACTGGATTGGATGCTGTTTATGTTTTCTGCTCTTTATGATTTGGGTTGAGACTTTCTATTGGGCTTTGTTGCCTTATTTGGGTGAGCATGTGAGTTGTCCATGCCACTATGTTGTTAGTACCTTTAGTCTGAGTTGTATAAACTGCTAGTTGGTCCGGTCTACGTGTTGTAGCTCCGTGACTAGAGGCATACTTATGTTATTTTAATTAATGAGGTATTTCAGTTAGCTATTTTATTGCAATTGCATGCAGGCGATGTTTTATTAATTGATTAATAAGCAAGTTGGTAATGATAATGACTTCATAATTGAAAAGAAAAAGATATTCCGTATTTTTAATTAAGCACAGCTTAATACGATAGTATGATAACATTACCGGATATATACAGGGTGTTACATGGAGAAAATTCAGAGACGATTTATTTGGGGGGATAGGGAGGAGAAAAAGAAAATGCATCTTATTGGTTGGGAAACCCTTACAAATCAAAAGGATACTGGGGGGTTGGGTTTGAAAAAGCTTAATTTAATGAAAGAGGCCTTTGTGGGAAAAATTGCCTGGGCTGTTTTCAGCCAATCTGATGATCTTTGGGTTCAGTTTTTGTATGCCTAATATGGAGGGCAGAGAATGGGGTCAGACATTTTTAAAAGCAGAAATAGTGACTCAAGGCTGTGGAAATTTATTTGCTTGGTGTGGAATAAATTAGAGAAGCATTTGTTTTAGGAAATTGGTGATGGAAATAACATTCATTTCTGGAAAGATAATTGGGTTCAAAGTACTGGTAGGCTGATGGATAAAGCTTTAAATCCGATTCCTTGGGATGAAGTGGGTATGAAATTAACAGATTATATTGACAACCATGGATATTGGGACATAAACAAACTTTCAAGGTGGCTCCCAAATGATATTCTGCTCAATATCCGTAGAACTCTCCCTCCGGATCCTCATGATGGGATAGACCACATGCATTGGAATCTAAAAGGTTCTCCCAAAGTCTTTGTCAAGGGTATATATGATATATTATCTGCTAATACTGATGAGCAGCAGGATATGGCTCCTATTTGGAGGAAAATATGGAAATAGAAGGGACCTCAGGTTATTAGACTTTTTATTTGGAAAGTGCTTCGCAATAAGCTCCCAACAAAAAGTTTTCTTAGGTACTTCAATATGGGTTCAACTTCTTGCCCAATTTGTTGGGAGCATAATGAGACTTGTATTCATTTATTGAGAGATTGAAGATATATGCATGAAGTATGGACATATTTGGTACCAAGAAACATGCATGACTCTTTCTTTTCTGCCAATTTGTGGGATTGGATAGATTTAAACATGTCACAGGTTAGCAATATTAGGGATAACACTCATTGGTGTACTTTTTTTGCTACTGCTTCCTGGCTTGCTTGGAAGTGGAGAAATGAAAGGATCCATGACAACCCAAACCAGGTTCATAACCATCAATACAAGGCACATACAATGACAACAAAGGTGGGGGAAATTCAGGATGCTTTTCACAAGGTTAGTATAGTTCAATCTGAATTGTCTCATTCGGATATCTTGGTTTGTTGGAAGCCACCAGAAATCAATTGGGTAAAAATGAATACTGATGGAGCAGCAAAGGGTAATTATGGATTGGCAGCTTGTGGTGGTGTTCTTAGGAATGCAGCCGGTCAATGGTTAAAAGGTTTTGCTTACAGAATTGGAAGACGTGATGCTCTTATTGCAGAATTTTGGGATATTTTAAAGGGATTGAAGCTAGCTTGGGAATATGGATGGAGACATATTATAGTAGAGAGTGACTCTAAATCAGCTATTGCTTTGCTCACTAGTAATGGTGATGCAGTCCGCGAGAATCATCTGATTTCTCAAATACGGACATGGATACAAAAGGATTGGAGAGTTCATCTGGTTCACACCTATAGAAAAGGCAACTTTTGTGCAGATTGGTGACAAATTTACCCTTAGTGAATGTTAATTCTGATGATTTTTGTATTTTTAATTCCCCTCCCCTTGGAATTGATCTGCTGTATGATGCAGATTTAGCTTCTGTTTGTAGAACTCGTCGTATTTCTAGTATGTAATTTGTGCTGTGGTGATATTTCCCCAGCTTACCCAAAAAAAAAAAATCCAAATAAAAGAAGTTGAAACCAAAAAAAAATAATCCCAATAATTTGAAAACTTGATTTAGTACGAATGAGTTTTATTTATTTATTTATTTTTGGTGAAGCAAAAAAAAAAAAAAAACAGAAAATATATTCTTAATATAATTTATGTATATATTTTTTTTAAGAATCTCAAGTAACTGGAATCCTACTTCCACTCCCTGCCAGGGCAGGGCATGGGACACGAATTCACAGTCTTTTCAGCGTTTCAGAAGACGCAGCTCTGTACGCCCCCATTGGTTACATTTGAAGACGTTGAAAGGTTGTTGGGTAGTTTCTTCAACTTAATACCAAACAGCCAAAGCCAAAAAAAAATAAAAAATATTAAAACTAAAACTTGCTTACTTTACTTTGCATTGCACCATTCGTTTTCATTCTACAATGCAAAACACAAACACCTGTTCTTCAACTCGCTCCTTAACCTTCACATTCCACAACGAGATCTCATCATTCTCTTCGTTCTCATTCCTTTCCTCTCCTAACCGTCGCCATGTTGCGCTCTTTCTGGCGATCCATCGATCGCTTCTCCGTTCAACACTTCAAGTAAGTCCAATCGTTTTTTCCATCATTGTTTTCTCCGAATTTGCTTCGTTAGGGTTCGATGTGAGATTTTGATGCTCTTTTTCCAAAGTAACTTAATTATTCGTAAAATTTGGTGAGGAGATTGAATTTCTACTGTGCTCATGGATCTTTTTGCCCCTGATGAGGTTACAGATATGTAATTAATGAACTGAAGCAGATTGAAGTTGTACACAAGCATAACAGGGTAACATAAGTCAATTTTTATGTGCATATCCTTTTCCTAGAAAAAAACCAGAATGTGCTTATGTGCATGCCATTGCTTGCAGGAATTTGTGATGGATTTATTGCAGTCTATTGTGGAAATAGTAACTTATGGTGATAGACAAGATCCGTCCATTTTTGAGTATGAATTTGTTGTGGAAATTTCGTTTTTGGGATATTGTTCTGATTTTCTGGATGAAATTCTTATAATTGTGACTCATTGTAAATATTTAGATGTTTCATGGAACACCAAGTACTGGCGGAATTTGTTCGCATACTTAAGATCAGTGAAAATTCAAAAATCGAGGCTCCACTGCTTCAGTATCTGAGCATAATGATTCAAAACATGGATAGTGAACATGCAATTTGTAAGATGGTTAATATTTCTTGATGTCTCTGGACATGCTCATTGACTTATGAGTTTGACCTTTTTATGCATACTTAATTTATATCCGGATGAAATATTCATTTCAGAAAACACACTGTTAATCTTAATTCTTAACTTCTTAAGTCCTTGGCTAGTACTGGTACTTACTTTACATTGGTGTTTCATATTTGCATGTTGCAGACTATTGCTTCAGCAATGGTTATATTAACAGCATTATTTCACATCCCTTCAAATTTGATGGGGGAGACCTAACTCCATACTATGTGTCTTTTCTAAGGTTGTAATCCTTCCTCCTCTCCTTTCCTTCTCTCTCAACCTTTTTTGCAAAATTCCCTGCATGTTGGAGGAGACGTGCAGTTATATGTTCTACCTTTTTACACTCCTTTTTTGTTACTGAGCAATAATATTGGGAAGGATGGAAATTTTGTAATTCTGATATTTTCTTTCACATATTTCTTTCTTTCTTGTTATAAGAATTTATTCTAAAATAAAAAATTGACTTTCGGTTTATTTCTTCATTCAGGGCAATTAGTGGTAAAATAAACAGAGACACACTTTGCCTTCTTGTGAAGGTTAATGGGGTAAGTAAAAACTTATACATGTAATGGTTTGTTGCTGTCCGTTAAATCAACATCATTGTCTTCCCACTTTTGACATAAGGCTTGATCTTTTTGTTTTGCACTTATTAGGCCGCAGTTTTTTCACTTACACCGGTAGAGATCTTAGTTCAGCAAATCAATAGTGTCATTAGCAAAGAATGTAACATTATTTTAGTTGAGAAAGATATTGATTAAAGTTACATGCATGCTTCCTACCTTGTATAAGTGGTTTGGGAAGCCTTTTACCATTTGTCAATGTATTGAGGGAGAACAATCATCATCAGCTAATTTGTAATGGATAAACAAGGTTGGTTCTTTTTTGTCCAGCAGAATTCAGCGGAAGTATTTGAAGATTCTCTTTGTTTAAAAATTCGACTGCAGGATGCTGTAGTTGCCTTTCCCTTGTACACTGAGGCTCTAAGCTTTGCTCATTATGAGGAAAAGATGATTCAGACAGCTGTACGTGCATTAGTTCTCAATGTCTACAATGGTATACTGTGCTCTTTGAATTACTTATAACTATTAAGTTATAAGCATGCTCTAGTGCAATATGTTTCTGAATTTCGCAATATTTTCATTTTGGTTCTACAGTTAGTGATGACATGGTCTATCAATTTATATTGACTCCTCCAGTTTCAGAGTACTTCTCTGACCTGGTTCATAGATTAAGAGATCTATGCTTTCGCTTAGATGCTTTTCTCTATGATAAAAGGTAAGTTCACTTGATTATTTTGTCAGATAAGTGTTATTACTTTATACGTGCTTGATTAATTCTAACTTCTAAAGAGCTAACTTCCCTACATTGAAACAGGGAGATGGACACTGAAAAAAGAAGAAATGGTCTGATTCTTGAATCTGATAAAGTTGTGGATGAGCTGTACTACTTTAAAGACATTCTTAGTGTTGGCGAGTGTCGTTTGACTAGACTGGTTACTGAAAATCTTCTGAATGGGCTTGTGTTTCCTTTACTATTCTCATTACTGGCTTCAAACAATAATAATGTGAGATGAGAAAATTTCCAGCAAACTAGTCTACCTTCAATTTTAGTTTCCCGCTGTTTTGTACCACCCCTATATTGACTTTAGTGTTCAAATCTGTTAATTATGATAGGGCAGTGTCCTCCAAATCGTGAAGATTTAATCTACAGTTTGATAGAAAGGGAATTCCCCACTTGGTATTCAACCTTTATTTTTCTAAAATCCCGGAGATTTCTTTTTCTTTTACTTGAAAAGAGAGGAGAAAATCATCATTTCAAATTAACCACAAAGTCCCACTTCTTACTTTTATGGAGCTTTTACTTTAAAATTCAGTTTTTAGATTAAAAAGAGAGACTGTTACACTATAATATTTAAATAATTTTCCCCCTTATGCTTACATTTGGGGTGCTACTTATAGTGTGCTAATAAGAAATTTGAACAGAAAGCTGGTATAAATGAAAGGAATATGAAAAAGTCTTGGTGGTGGAAACTTCTGCATTTCAGTTATTCTTGTCATACATAAATTTTATTTCAGATTTTTTTCCGCATGATGTACTGATTCAAACAATATATTCTTTGCTTCAGGGCTTAGATTTATCTGCTATCACTTCGTTATATATCTTATCACGCCTTCTTCAAGTTGTTGGTGGACGAAGCATGATTAACAATGTGGCAGTTGTTATTCTGTATCATTTTTTAAACTTAAATGTGAGAGCTCTGAGTAAAGGGAATGCTTCTGATGGCCATGATGATGTTAAACCTTTTTCAAAGTGCTTGAATGAAGTAGAAAGAATTATATGTTATGCTTCTGAGCCAAATGGAGCTGAGAGCATCGATGGGAACTATTTAGGTGCTCATTGGGAAGATTTCATGTCCAATTTCAATATTAGTAGCTCAAGTGGTGAAATTCATTCCAAAAGGTTGGTGTTTTCTCAGATTTTGTCATTGTTTATGATATGTAAATTCCATTATAGACTTTATGGTGTTATGACAGTTTTGTTCTGTCTTCTCTCTTGACCATCCTTTACTTTCCTTTCCTTTTGTTTTTGTGTGTGCCCGTGAGAAGACTTTTTCGGGGGGAGGGGGGGGGGGTGTTGTGGGAGATAACAGAAGAGACCTTATTTGAGATTAAATGGATCAGGTTACAGGAAGGATAATGATTGTTGATAAATGAATTTCCAGATAGAAGTAGTTCTTCAGAAATGCGTTGCACGTTGATTGATGTCGTAGTTTATCTTAGGTCTTTGCTTTTGGTGTCCATTGATTGATTATAGTTTTGCATAATCTGATAATTGGCTTCATGTTAATATATCATGATTATGTACTTAAGCTCTTTGGAATGTATTCTGATTTTCCTCCCTTTCTTATATGCCCCATGTTTAGAGTTTTGATGCCATAGAGATGCATGAGAAAGCTAAATCCCAAAATAGTTGAAGATTGTATGGTTTTTTCAATTTGAATTTTATTTTTTGGTGGTGATTCGACGCTCTTATATCTTCATGAAAAACTTGTTCTTTAATAACAAGGGTTTAAAGCTCCTGACATCAGGAGGAAGCATCTACCAAGGCAAATCATTTATGTATTAGTGAGTGCAGGTTCATGATCCTGTGAATCTAAATGTACATATAATGTAACTGCTATTGTTGCAGGAGTGGTATACTTGCATTTGTTTTCTCTGAGGATCACAGCCTATTGTTAGCTTCTATATTTCTCTTGCTTCTTTTGGCAGAAAGTAAAGGTAGTGTTATTTTCTTCATTAATTAGCCTTACAGTTATCTTTTAGCAAGTGATTGAGTTGTTTGATGTCTGTTGCTTTTTCATGCAAGTTTTGCAGATCTTGATTGTTTCTTATCTCCAATGATTGAGCTGTATGGGACTGGGGATGCGATGGTAAGTATTGATTATTGCATTGATTTGATTTATCAGGATCATCAATTTTCAGAATGGCATATATTGTAGTACATCTCTTACCATTGCATGTCAAGGATCACTTACACCAGAAATGAAGTATTTTTTGCTAAAAAATTCTGGATTTTTTAACCGTGTAGAACATCTCTTACCATTGCATGGCAGGCCTAGGCCAAGGCTTTTATTTTTTGAATATAGGTTAGGTCAGACTTGTAATTTGGAGCCTACACAGGCTAATAGGCCAGGCCAGACCCAATGTTTTTTACACAGGCTTGGCCTATTTAAGCCAAAGTCTAGCCTAGCCCAGCCTATTTACACCCCTGCGTGTATGTAATCATGATCTTGCCTCCATAAATCTCTGAATTTATGACTACTGTTACTTCCTGCTTACATGTTGGTAGGCTTGAGATTGACATGCTTTTGTACAATTTATTGTGCTTTTAAAACCAGTTTCCAGATTACATGCATTTATTGTTGAGAACATTAAAAAAGAAGAAGGAATTCTTGGTAAAAATATTTACAACTTAGGAACATGTGACTACTGAAGTGGTTAAGAATAACGGGTTACTTGTTATCAACTCTTTGAACAGGGTTGACCAGTTAAAAATATTTTTACCAAGAATTCATTTCAAGTAATTTTCCCTTGATTATTTAACTGAAACCTGTTGGTTCAGATGCATTATACATTATAAATTATATTATATGATTTCTTTTTCTTTTGTTTTCTCTTTTTCTCTTTCTGTTTCAGTTGCAGACTAATGACACATCCACTTTTAAGTCTGTGGATGGAAGTATCCTCATTAGATGTATGCCTGAGGTATATATAACATCATTATTTTTGACTTGTTTGATCAAATCATCCTTCATTATTATTCTTGTTGTGTAGTTTTAACTTTGTCAAATTCGGTTCCAAAAAGAACACTTAGAATGATAATAAATGACCATGTCCTTTTAAATTCGACAGATTTTAAATGCCCTGCTGAAGGTTTTAGCCTTCCAGGAATCCCTCTCTGCAATGATGCTATGGCATGCTGGGTGGTGCTTGCAAAAGCTACTTAACTTCCATAAAGAGGGACTTAATGGTGATAATCTCCTCCTATTCACTGTAAGTATTCAACATCTTCAGCTAATTTCTTTACACACTATTACAACTGGATAACTGCTCGCATGGAGACCAACTTGTATTTTTCCTGTCAAAAGTACGGTTAAGTGAAATTAATGTTTTACATTGAAGATGTGTTGATTTTGGAAGTTTCACTTCAGTATATTTCAATATCATTTGTTGTTAAAGTCTCAATTATCGTGCTGGTACTAGTTTTATTATGCAAAAGAAGTGTATCATCAATCTCACAATCAGATTATAAAATCATGTAAGCTGTAAGATCAAAAGATTGCTTCTCCTAATGTGCTAGGACTATGGGTTCTGCCTACAAGTTTGTCTTTTGATTTAAAGGTGGTCAGTTTTGCATATTATTAAGGTCATGTGTGTGAATGTTGTGTAGGTTAGAACTATGAGCATATCCTTGCTCTCAAGCATATTAAACGGATAGATTTTAGAATATGTACAGTTTATAGTTGACAGATGTCACAAAGAAGATATATGGCAATTTACTTTGGGTGACCAAGCATGCATTGGAGAAAAATGTGAACTTTAATAGTGATATATTGAATTCCAGAATGCAATTCAACATTGCATAAATTATTCTATAATTTTGTCTTCAAAATTCAAATGCAGGAAAAGTTATAAAGATACATGTAGTTTTTAGTGCCTTTTAGTGACTGAAGATTAGTTTTTAAATCAAATACAATAAATAAAGGTAAAAATACTGCTGAGACATGCTTGACTTGGTAACTGTTTATTTGGGCAGATATGTTAGAAAAGCTTTGGATCTCTGGCAAAATATGATTCTTTCAATATGTGTGTGGATCAAATCTGGTTATGTGGTTATGTTGTGAATATGGAATACATTTCTAGTTTTTGATATGGTATACGTGCTATAGGAAGTGAGGATTGATTTATCCATGTTATTATAAGTGTATTAATACCAATTACCGAATTGCATTTATGCACTCAAAATTTCTAAAGTTTTATAGTTTCTAGTTTCCATCGGCAGACTTCATATGAGCAGTCTCGTGTACACTTTCTGAAAGAACTTGATGGAATTTGGTTTGATCATATTCTAGATACTCTAAGAACTGAATGGGCGAGCTGTAAAAGAGGTATTTATTACTTTGTTCACTTTGAGATTTAACCTAAGACATCTGTGTTGGCTTACTTTTTTGAACAGTTAAAAGTAAGTCTTGTATATGCTTAATATGGATGAACAAAGTGCACACATTTTTTTGTAATAAAAAAAAGAGAGGGGGAAAAAGTAAGGTAAGGTTCTTGTTAAACCATTGCAATTTTGGTTTTTGATAGGGTTCAATGGCATCGTTTGATCTAGGTAGCAATCCCATCTGTTGAGATTAAGCTTGGTTGTTGCTGTACTAATTAAATTAAATTATCTTGACAGTTTTTGTTTTATTCTCTAATGCACTCACTCATTTTGCATGCAGTTCTTGAGCAATCTTCCCAATATAAAGATCCATTATTTATGTTGGAGCTTGTTCTTCACCAACAAACCACCAGTGGTATTGTTATCTTTGCATGAACCAATAGCCTCTTCTTCAATGCATTGGTATTTTCCTTTTAATATTAAACGGTACCAAGGACTAATTATGATTTCATCAAGAGTAAACAAATATCCATGTGTTACGACCCATAACTGATATTAGGGGCTCAACGGTAAGTCTTCCATAGGCAGCAATGCAGAGAATAATATTCTTTTACGCTGACTCATCATGGAGGGAAAGTTTGTTAAGGAATTCAATTAAATAGGGAGCAGCGTGGAAGGAGTGGGGGATCTTTTTGGCATTTGGGACTTGGGTACCTTTGGGTGAAATTGGGAGAGATCAGGGGCTCTCCAACTCCTCTGAACCTATCTTTACTTTCAATTATTTTGCAATCTGTTCTAAGATCTGTAAGTAGGAAGAGTCATACTGTTTGGTGTTAATTGTAATTGATAACTGTTGAATTGGAGAATTATATACAAATTGTCTCTGTTTTTGGGTTTATTCTTGAAATTGCTGGATCTGATTGTTACAATTGGTATGAGAGCTATCCGATCCGGGTAGCTTTGGACCATGGCCACATTGAAAAGAAAGCCATGGAGAAGAGAAGTTCCCAAGTTCTATGAAGATGAGGATGCTTGGGGATGGTTCATCTATATGGAAAAATATTTCCAGGCAGAAGGAATTGTTGAAGAAGAGAAGCTAATAGAGGCAGTGAAATGGCTTAGGGGTCGTGCTTTTTATTGGTACAAATGTTGGAGTTGGCTCAATCCAAATGCAAATTGGTGGATATTTTTTAGAGCATTCGTACAGCGATACCTGCCGGATTCTGTTTGGAAGAGGAAGTGGAATTGGAGCCCCCAAAGTCAGAATCTGATACACAACATTTGGTGTTGGAGAAGCCAGAAATTAGGGAAGAAAATGAGAAGACAGAAACTGAAGAGAAGCACACGATTCTTGCTCTTATGGAGAAAAACACAGTTGATGAAGAGTTTGAAAACCAAAAAGGAAGGAGGAATCAAGAACAACTCATGGTAATAAAGGAAAAACAGCCACTTGGTTTTGCATTAATGGAGAAAGAAAAAGAAGAGATGGCGAGGGAAGAGCTAAAGGAAGAGACCGAGGTGCTCGAGGAAGCCATGGAAGTGGGGGAACTCTTGGCCAAGGTGATACATGAATTGAAGATACCCCAACCTCCGATGGTGGTAGTCGACCCACCATCACTGCCTGACCCGCCAGATTCAGCCTGGTGTGGGAATGTAGCGCTGCTATTTGCGGCGACAGACAGAAATAATAAAAAGAACAGGGAAGGATTTAGGTTAAGAATGGGGATGTAGAAAAGTCTAGGCCCAACCCAAAGTAATATGAAGTTTTCGGCCCAATCTACAGCCCAACCCGAAGACAGTAATTTCTTTGTGCTTATTTTATATAAAAATTGGGTCTATGAATCCATAACAATGTTTGGGTTTAGTAGGCTTAGTGCGCAGCCCAAATGAGTTCATTGCGGACCAGGTTGTTCAAATATGTGCACTCATAATTCAGCCCAATCAATCTAATCGTCTTGTATACTTTTTCATCCTATGGAAAACCCTAATCATCTTGGTCGGCACCGGCTGCCACAAACAGAACGGAGCACATCGGAAATTCCATGACAAATGGGGCGCTGCTGCCATCTCCACAAGCTTGAACATGCAGTGGAAAAATTATCTACCATACAAGGGGATTTTCCTTGCGATTTGCGCAAGCGAAACAGATCACAGGTGCGTTTTCATAACAAAGAGATTCATGAATGATTTCAACATTGATCTGCAGAACCGTCTTCGTCTCTTCCATCATGGTTCTGCATATGATAACAGGCATGGGGTTCACAAGTTAATTCCTAGAATGCACGAATTACTTGCTTCTCCTCTGCATTATGTCCTCCAAGTTGATTTGAAACACCTTTCAAAAGTTCAAAAGCTTTATAAAAATCCTTTCACTGACAATTTCGATGGTTTTTTATGTCAAGAGAATGGTCATTCTTATAGCTTTAATTTTAGAAAATTTCCAGACTTGGGGGAGGTTGAAATTGGCTGCCATGGAAAATTGATGAAAATCAATAGCTTTGAGGATTTTGATCCTGAGATACAGACCAAGGTATTGGTAAGGCATGCTAATGAAGCTAAAGGGTCTCATCGCCAAATAAAATGCATGATTACTAGATCTGTGACCCTTCCATCTGAATTTTATTTTCCAGAAAATCCTAATGTGTTACCCGATAGCTATTGGGTTGAAAAGTGGAGAATTACCCACAAGGCTGAAGAACTTTATTCAATGGTTTGTTTGTTACTTTTGGGTATTTTCCCCAATCATAGTCCACATTACTTTGTCCGTAGGAAAGTCAGTTTGGCCTGTCATCTTTCTAAGATTCATAGTGAGGCTTCAGTTGGGAAAAAATGTCAGAAAGCCAAAAGAGTATATTGAAGTAATTTATTGGATTTTAAGGAAATATGGTCTGCTTCTTGAACGTATGAAGGGTGAATTAGATGTATTGCTTTATCATTGCATTGGTTTGATTTGAAAGATAGAGGTGCTGAATTAAATCACAACTTAAGACAAACTGCTAGGTGGGAAGGTCAAAAGCAGAGGGAGCAAAGCCTTATGGAAGAATTACATCAACTTAATGGCGAACTGCATGATTGTGATGAGGACAAAAAGAGCATTGGTCATGAAAATTCTGGTGATGATAACAAAGTGGGTTCTATTCCAGTACTGCAAGCTATTATTCAAACCCATCCCTGCTTCATGATTTCTGCAAGAGTTGTTTGTATTCTGGTTTATTTGTATTCTGGTTTCAACCATGAGATCAATGCGTTGAATATTCTTCAAGGGTGGGAAAGCAACGATGTCATTAGCGCAGAGGGACAATGGGATCCGGGGGGAGTTTATATTTCTGCAAGCATATGTTGACCTTTACAGTTCACACAATGGGATCCTGGTGGTGGTTATGTTGCTTCATGCATCAATTGACCCTTATATTTCAAGCAGTGGGATCCTGGGGGAGGACACTAGTTTACTGACCATCACCTTGAGGACAAGGTGAATCTTTTGGGGGGGGAGTATTGTTACGACCCATAACTGATATTAGGGGCTCAACAGTAAGTCTTTCATAAGCAGCAATGCAGAGAATAATATTCCTTTACGCTGACTCATCATGGAGGGAAAGTTTGTTAGGGAATTCAATTAAATAGAGAGCAGCGTGGAAGGAGTGGGGGATCTTTTTGGCATTTGGGACTTGGGCACCTTTGGGTGAAATTGGGAGAGATCAGGGGCTCTCCAACTCCTCTGAACCTATCTTTACTTTCAATTATTTTGCAATCTGTTGTGAGATCTGTAATTAGGAAGAGTCATATTGTTTGGTGTTACTTGTAATTGATAACTGTTGAATTGGAGATTATATACAAATTGTCTTTGTTTTTGGGTTTATTCTTGAAATTGCTGGATCTGATTGTTACAATGACAGGTGAAAAAACTTCCTATTTCTCTTGGCAAAGGATGGTCGATACAGTGAAGGTGTTTCCATTTATTCTTTCAATTTTTCATTCAAATTAGTTGTAGTATTTTGTTACTTGATCCCTTTTTGGTTGCTATTGTACACTGAGATGGGTGTTCATTTTGAAAATGAGGATACAAAATTTAAGTTGACTTGTATCTTTTACTTTAGTATTAAACATATTTACTAAGTACATCCAAAAGCCACTGCTCAATGCACGCTTTTTTTGAATGATAGATATAGTCCTGCTTGATTAGTCAAGACAATAGAGTAAATTCTAAACATGAGTTTTGGAGAGACAGTTGAAATTAAAGGGGTTTTGGTTAAGTAGGATTAATTGATGGAGTATACAAAATTCAAGTTCAACAAGAAGTGTGTTAGCAATGATTTGGGGGTGAAAATTGGAGATCATGTGATAAGACCCCACCCAAGATGAAGGTTTATCGTAGGTGAAATACGTTGGCCCATATTGGATTAATTGATAATAAGGTGTCACGTGCGCATGCTGAGTCAGCAAAGGCGAATGGGGAAAAAAGTGTGATGAATGATTCTGTTTCAGAGGTAAAAGGTGTGCAGGTAGTTACGCACAGGGGGTATAACAGTGAGGAAGGCAGGCACGCATTAGGCATCTTGGAATTGGGAAATTGGGCACCATTGGGTGATTTGGGAGGGACTAGGAGCTCTCAAAGTCTTATGGGTTATTTTACATCTTCTTGTTATTATTTCCATTATGCATGTTGCTGTTTCATATTAAATGAGGAGGACGTAACAGAGTTATGCAATGATTTAGGAATATATGCATACCACAAGTTACCTACTCTAGGTATCTTGGGTCCCCATTACAAAGTGATAGAGATATCGCACATAGGATTCAAGCGATAACCTATAAATGGATGAAATCGTCAAATGCTTCATGTGTGATTTGTGATCAGAAAGTTCCTATCAAAGTCAAAGGAAAATTTAGCTGGACAATTATGAGAGCAAAGATGCTCATTGGTAGTTAATGTTGAGCTCGAAAGTTCCAACAAGAGTAAAAAATAAATATATTGGAGAAGAGAATATTGATGTGGGTGAGTGGACCTACAAGAAAGATAAGGTTAGAAATAAATGAAAATTGAGAGAAAGTTACAGTGGCATTTATTGAGGAGAAGATGACAGAAACTTTCCTCAGAAGATGATAAATAGAGGCTTCGGCGTAAACCTTATAGCTGACCTGACTAAGTGAGATAAGTCTGGGTTATTGTTATAATAAATTAAGGGCTCATGCTTCTGACTATCAAATGGTGTGCAATATGGCAACATTGTAAAACTGGAGCATTGTTTGGCAAAGTCTTATAATTTTATAATGACACATTTCATTATGCCCTTGTGGCTTTAAAGTTGACTTGATAAACTTCATCTGACCTATTTTACTTCTTGTACTTAGCTGCAAGATCTATTGAACTTTTAGATAATTTCTGGTATCTGGCTCTTACATTCTTATTTTTTCTTGTTTTATTAATCATTATCTTTAATGCAAAAGTTTGTTGCCATTTTGGTTGGAGTTTAAACAATTTATGAGCTTTCTTGTTCAACCCAACATTATATTTTCCATGATTTTAATTGCTGATGTTAATTATATCATGTATCATGCATTGTATTGCTTCTCCCTTAAAATTCCTGAAGCATACTTCTGATATCAGTTTTTTATTCAGGCTTTTATTCTCCACTTCCAGCTGAAGACATTTATTGTAAATGGTGTATTGGTTGAGAAGCCATTCTTGAACATGATTGCCAGTTCTACGAATGATTCTGGAGCAATCCGTGCTTCAGATGTTTCATCTGCTAGCTTTGGGTCCAATGTTTCTTTGGGTAGGCATCATTATGTTTGAATTTGGTTGTGCCTCTGGCATGATTTTCTTTTTCCTTTTAATTTTTTGTATCCCCATGTAACTCTTGCAGAATCTGGAATACCTTGCGGAATTTCATTTTCAAATTCAGAAATTAGGGATATATATGTAATACCGGTGGCAAGTGGAATGAATGGAAAATTGCTTCTTACAGAGAAACACCCATTCCGCAGTCGTCATGGAGTTGTGATTGCCATTGCTCCATTGGCAGGGTTATGTGTAAGTCAAATTGCCTTAAATTCTTGCTTGTCAGAGCTTAGCTTTTATAGGATTTTATGATGTTGGTCTGTTTATTTTAAAAACAATAACATGTAGATACCTAGTGTGGTTTATTCTTTATTGCTTGGTTTTCATTTCAAAACTGCTTTTTTTTTTTTTTTTTTCAGTTGTTTTTCAAAATTGCTCTCTCCTATCCTCATGTGTTACCTGATAGTCTCGTGGATGAAATGCTTTGTACTCTTCTGCCATGCATGTGTTAATGTGATTCTCTTATCCTCGAGTGTTACCTAATAGTCTCGTGGATGGAATGCTTTGTACTCTTCTGCCATGCATGTGTTACTGTGATTGTTGCAGAGATATATATATATATATATATATATATATATATATATATATATATATATATGGGAAAAATGTTTCTCCTGCGACAGGAGATAACAATCTCAAAACGACGTTGTTTTGGGATCTAGGAAAAAAAATGTAGGGTTTTTTAAAAAAAGTTTACTTTCCTCTTGCATCGTGAATTTTACCAAAATATCCTTTTTTTTTTTACTAAACCCCAAAACGACGTCGTTTTAGAGTTGCAGGATAAAATTTTATTTCCTGTTACAAGAGAAACATTAATTCCTTTTCTTTTTTTTTTACAAAGAAATCAAATATCAAGTAGCAGAAAAACAATCAAATTATAACAATTAATCTTTTACATTTTTTTTTTTTGGGGGTGGGGGGTGGAGTAGTATAATATATTTTGATGAGTCATCATGTTTTGATTTCTTCAATGTGTGTCATTTACCCCTTTCACCTGCTTGATACAGCCTAAGATAGATGAGGACCACCCCTCGTGGTTGCATCTTCGAATAAGAGAGTTTGATCCAAAGTTTTGTACAATTAAAGCCAGAGGAAACCACCTGAGCATGCCTGATCATTTGGCAGATGGGAGATGGACCCTTGGTTTCCCAAATGCAAAAGCTTGTGAGGAAGCTCAATTAGCGATTCAGAATGAAATTAATAAGCAGAGATCGGCCGTGGAGTACATGCTTGCTCCATTACTTCAGTATGATCTTGGATTAGCCGAAAGCTGAGGTAGTTAATGTTGTGATGATAAATGATTGTAGGTGAGTTTAAGCTTTGTCCCCTTTTGAATTATTGACTCCTTTTTCTTTATTTTACTTGGCTTGTTTCTTTTTGTACTTTTATTTTATTTTGGTTGTATAAGTGGGATAAGGTTATATTGCATACTAGTAGTGTAGACTATTTTATAGTACTATTACTGCCAACAAGTGAATTTGTGAAGCATGCTGCATGTAATATGATCTCATGTAGAGTTGTGATCATCTGCGATACTTGAATTCATAGTGTCTGTAATTCCTTAATTCTTCTTGTTATTTTAATTCCTTATGGATTATTGGCAGCTATTTGTTCACGTTTTCTGCTTACTTTACCAGTTTAATGTTAGCATAGGTTTTGATTCTGTCATCTCACTATGATTGTCGGTTTGTTATGTTTGATCTTCAAGTAACCGTTAGAAACGCAGAGACCAGATCAAGAAATAAGGAAATAACTTCACTGAGACGTGTACATACTGAAGAATTTTTTTTTCAAAGTAGTTTGCATGCACTGAAAAAAAGGGGGAAAAACAGTAAACATCCCCGATGGTTGTTAGGAAATTATGCTGCACTTGATGAAAATATTTTCAATACAAATTAAACTACTACCGCATGAAACATAAGTTACTAATACCATATAGAGGCTAAAATTTACACTTTGGTGGTGCGCAAATATCATTAAAGACTAGGTGAAAATGAACCTCTGGTGAGTTTGCAGTTGGGGTAATTTGTCAGATTTGACGTTTGTAAGATAGTGTATTAGTAGAATTTCAAAATTTTACGCTAGCGGGCATTATTGTTCCTCTATGGAGATGTGAAATAATTCGAATGTTGTTATAAAAAAAAAAAAAAAATAATTCGAATGTTTACTTGGTTGAGTTGTCGGAAAATGGGAAGATGAAAATTTCAAAATGAAATCACTTTATTCTTGCTTGGTATAACAAATATTTTAGAAGGGCGAAAGTAAAATGCATTTATTTTCACTATCAAACTTTTTTTTTTTTCGTTTTTTACTTGCCCTTTTCCCTTTTTTACCTTTTACTTAGCCAAAACAGATATAGTCTTTTAGGAAGGAAGTTCTGAACATGGCTTCTGCTAATTATTATTACCACTCAATTGTATGGAGTCTGTTCCAATAAACAACTGCTGTCAGTAAAAAGTGCCATTTTCTTAAACACAGATGAAATGCATTTCCAAGTAAATACCGGAGTTTTAGTATAAATATGTCTCTGCACTATGCATCGAGATTTTTGTCTTATTTTTGTATTAAAATGTCTCGCGTACATTATTATATAGTAAAGGATGACATGATTATAAAATGGCCTTTGACAACGTTTAATGCGAGGTTTTTAAGACACTAGGATAATAGTGAGGGGTTTAGGTAGTTTGTATTAAGTTATGTGTTCAATTCTTATCATTGTACCAAAAAAAAGAAAAGCTCATTAGGGTGGCGATTGATAGTTAGCGGGGCGTAGTCAACAATTATACGGCAAGGGGGAGATGGTTGATAAACTAGATAGTAGATACACCTGGGGATTGGAAATGGTGATTCTATGTGCATAGTGGTTTATGATTTACGTCTATTCCCTGGAATACTTAATCTTTTACGATTTTTAAAAGTTTCCCTTGTTTGTAGTGAGGTAAAGAATGCATTTTGACCAAAATAATGAGCTTTTATAGATTGAATTGTTGATGATTGAAGGTTGGTGCGTGTTACGTCTGCTAAGATATATATAGCGAGCCAGATAAATTCAAGGTTGTTTTTTTTTCTTATTGAATGATGTTACGTGGATTTAGACTTCAGAGTATACTAAGTTACTAATGCAGAACTGGTCTTTGGTGATATATGCTTACGTTTTTGTTGATGTCTTAGGAATTAGGATAGCAGAGAATGAGAAATGAGGAAAGCCTATCCTATTTACTCAGAATGAATTAAATCCATGTAACGCTGGCCTATCGTTGAAAGCATACTAGATGTTTTTCTTTAGGCTTTGATTTACAATTGGACAAAGGAGGAAGAACATTATAACAAATTTAATGTATATTTGGATTAATTCATTCAATATTAAAAAAATGCATAAATTTTTGTGACATTTGAAAAAAATTTCGAAAATAAAAAACACAAAATAATGAACGTTTGGGTTTATAAGGCTGTCACATTGGAGACACTTTCAGGTTCACCCACCACAATCCCGTTGTATATCCACAAGTCTCTATCTCTATACATAAATATAGCCTGCCATGAAATGCATAGCTTTGCTTCGTCGTCTGCGGTTGTGCGCAGATAACACGAGGTAGAGTAATCATTTGTATTCCTAATGATACTGGCCTTTTATGTTTTTAATGAAGCATAAGTTTGTTTAGTGCAGATCAGATATGAAGCATAAAATAATGAGAAACTTTTAGTAAAAAGAGAGTGTGTATGGTACGTAATTCCATCACCTTTACATTAACAAGGCTGTCATGTCAAAATTAGAGCAACTTTTTCCTCCCCGTTCTAGCCTTTAAAGCTGCCCATCCTGCCCAATACTATTAACTAATCTTTCTCTCTTTCTCTCTCTTCTCAGTTTCGTTTTCCCTCTCTTCCCTTGGATATTGCTTTCAGCCACATGGCCTCGTAGAGGGCCGAAGATGCTTATTGGAAGCTCAAAAGCATAAAATGAGCATCCCTTTTGAGTAGATAATGCCATATTTTACTTTTAATATTGCTTTATGGTAGAGCGCTTTACTTTAAGCAAAAGATGAGGGTATATTAATATTGGAGCTCTAATGAAATGTGTTTGAAGGAAAATCAAGCGGGGTTTTGATGGTGAAAGAAGAGAAAAGATAGTTCTGTACCTTTCACTTTGCCTCAAAATCTCATGGTGTCCAAACAGAGTTAGAGATCAACAATTAGGATGACACTTTTGATACAATAATGGTTCGATTATGATACAAGACACGAGATACGATATGACATCATATTTTGATATGTTAATTTTAAAAAATATTAAATTTGACATGTTATGACACATTTTGATATTAAATAATATTTTTAATTTATATAATATATATTATATTTAATATTCAATAATTTAACAAAAAATAAAATTAAACTTATAATATCCATCAATTCTATAAAGTGTAAATATTTACTATTTTATTTTCAAATTGAAAATCTCATATACACTAATGCGAGGTTTATCCGGTATCTATTTTTTAATATTACTATATCAGTTTCGTAAAAAATATCGATCAATTTTTTCATGAAATGTAATGAAATTTCAAATGTTATAATCTCGGAACGTGTTGGAATGTCGAAGAGTGTTAAACACGACACTTTGAATTTTTTTGAAGTGTCGGTGTAACATAGTATATAACAATAACAATTAACTTTTATAATATTTTTATTTTTTAAGTTAAACCGTTATTGGTGGGGGAGAGAGAAAGAAGTGATGGGTTGTGTTCTAAGTATAGATATTCCTTTCTTTCGTTCAAACACTACTTTTCTAGCTAGCATAGCAGAGTGCTTTGTGTTCAAATAATTTGGTGCCGTTTGTAAGTCTTTTTAGGCCAACAAAGTTAGATGAGACTTTTTGACTGAGCTAGCTACAGTAAATGCTTGTGCTGATCACTCACGAAAACCACAACCACAACCACAACCACAAGGTTTCATTTTGGGTCCTAATATTTCTAAGCACAGAGTTATCCTGTGCAAGTGCGTTAGTCAGGTTCTTTGCAAACAGTTAACATGCCCAAAAGAACATAACAAAACATCACATGACACATGAATTTGGAAAAAAGAAAAAGATAAGATTTTGCTCAATTTATACGGATTTAGTTTGTACAAAATACAGTTTCATACATGGTTAATTCAACTACAGCCAATGGAGTTAGCGATTCCAAAACATGACGTTACGCCATCTGGTTTCCCATAGAGAAGACATTTCCATAGTTATTTGAGTGGATTTGAACTGTTTCTCTCATTGAGTGCTCATCAACTAGTTATCCATTATATCACTCACTTTGTTCTATGATTGTTAGATCATTTCCCCCCCTTTTTTTCCCTTTCATGTAATGTTCCTTAGCTTGTTTTATTTAACTGCTTTCTTTCAAGTTGACATGCAATGACTGAAATTATAACTGGCTGATTCATACATTAATGATACGTCATGGGTCATTGCACAAAACAAGTAAAAGTGGACTTAGATGATTGAGGAATGAAAGGGAGATACCTGTGTTGGAAAATATTCTCCGATATCTTTATGTAATTTCTATGATTTATTTTTTCGTGAACACCTAGATAGATGGAGGGGGAGCACTGAGTGGATGCTATATATATGTGCCTGCTCTGCTTTCTATGCAAAAGGCAATATTGAAGACTTGAAAATTTATACCCCTAACCAGAAATGGACACAACTATCTAAGAAACCTAAGACTAAAATCACTCTCTTACTGAAAGTGAAGCCTGAAGAATTAAATTTAATTGGCTGTTGTATTTTTCACACCCAGAAACGCTTGCATTAATTATGGTCTCTTAATTGATTGCATTAGTATGTTATGTATATGTATAGTGTGTTATATCTAGCAGGTATAATGAATATGGTACTCGGATTTGTACTATATATATGGCTATATGCATGTGGTAATCATTAATTTCTGCTCTAAAATATTTTTTGGTGAATTTTGCTCTCTGTTGATGCATGATACTTACCAAGTGTTTCAATAATATTCATATGATGTGTAAAACTTATGTTTATGTATGCAATAAGAAGCAATTTAGAGTTTTATATAGTGTAGTGGTCCTTCTATTCAAGAATAATATCGATCAGTCAAAGTCTCCAATAATAAATTAATAAAACTTATGTATATTAACGCAGATCAGAAAATTAAAGTCAATCACGTCAGGAAAATTGAAGCTTGGACAGTGGAGATGTGAACTTGGCCGCACGTGCAAAATATCTGCTTTATTTTCGGTTATCCAGAAATGTTCATGAACCCAACCCAATTGGTAGAATTAAGCAATATTAGGGCACATTTACAAAAATAGTATAATTAAAATTACCTATTTGATATGATTAATTATTTGCCAAAGTGATATAGTTTGATTATTTTTATTATTATTTTTTACCATATGAGCTCCAAACGTGTCAACGTGACACATTTTTTGGGCTCATATGGTAAATAAATATCAAAAGGAATACAATTATACCACTTTAATAAATAATTTTCAAACTATATTATATTGATAATTTCTTTAAAAATTATATTATATTAATCAGTCTACCATAATATTAACCCGTTGTTTTTTTTTTTTGAACACAAGTTTGGTTGTATGAATACATTTTTTATGTTCTATTAACACGTTATTTCTTCCTGTTTTTATTCATGAGAGACTTAAGTCCTATATATTATTGGGAAAAAAGTTTCAGCTGTAACTTCAGATAGACATACCTGCTGTGCACTTAAACGTCACCGTTTTTGTCTTTTTTTAATTAAAACGAATTAGATATCGTCCTATTTTTTCTCTGTTTCTTCGTTCACAAACTATATAGTCATCACATCGCTGTAGTCATATCGTCCTATTACACCGTTTTCGTTAACCTTCTCTGTTTCTTTCTTCATAAACTATAGTCATCACATCGCTATTGTTTTTCTTGCGCTTCCTTATTCAAGCATAGGGTTTTTGTTTGGGGACTCGTCGTCATCTTTCTGGTATGTAAAATTACAGTGCTCTGTATCTGAATTACAATTCTTTCGCTACTATATAATCTTATGCGCAGATTTGTGATTTGGGTGGTTGCTGTAATTACAACAAAGAAAGCTGACAATAATGCATCTACCATTGCTGTCAACAGGTTAGCGATACTCTGACTTATCCTTCGTGCAATTGAACTGAGAAACAGCCAATACTTTAAAGGTTGAATGACACCTTGTTAGTTCACACCTCAGCCAAGGTACTTAACAATTTTAAGGTTTGTGCTTGTTTTTTTAATGATCGCATGTATTCAGAAGAAGCAAATTTGTATGACTTGAATATTTTGATTTGAATTATGGAACCTATTTAAGAAGACACTTAAGAAAGCTGATAAGGTTAAAATAAAAAAAGATGACAATAATGCATCTACCATTGCTATCAACAGGTTGAATGACACCTTGTTAGTTGACACCTCACCTCAGCCAAGGTACTTAACAATTTTAAGGTTTGTGCTTGTTTTTTTAATGATCGCATGTATTCAGAAGAAGAAAAGTTGTATGACTTGAATATTTTGATTTGAATTATGGAACCTATTTAAGAAGACACTTAAGAAAGCTGATAAGGTTACAATAAAAAAAGATGACAATAATGCATCTACCATTGCTATCAACAGGTTGAATGACACCTTGTTAGTTGACACCTCACCTCAGCCAAGGTACTTAACAATTTTAAGGTTTGTGCTTGTTTTTTTAATGATCGCATGTGTTCAGAAGAAGAAAAGTTGTATGACTTGAATATTTTGATTTGAATTATGGAACCTATTTAAGAAGACACTTAAGAAAGCTGATAAGGTTACAATAAAAAAAGATGACAATAATGCATCTACCATTGCTATCAACAGGTTGAATGACACCTTGTTAGTTGACACCTCACCTCAGCCAAGGTACTTAACAATTTTAAGGTTTGTGCTTGTTTTTTTAATGATCGAATGTATTCAGAAGAAGAAAATTTGTATGACTTGAATATTTTGATTTGAATTATGGAACCTATTTAAGAAGACACTTAAGAAAGCTGATAAGGTTACAATAAAAAAAGGTGACAATAATATCTACCATTGTGGTCAACAGGTCAGGGATACACTTCCTTATCCTTCATGCATTTGAACTGAGAAACAGCCAATACTTCAAAGGTTGAATGACACCTTGTTAGTTGACACCTCACCTCAGCCAAGGTACTTAACAATTTTAAGGTTTGTCATTGTTTTATAATGATCGCATGTATTCAGAAGAAGCAAATTGTTATGACTTGAATATTTTGATTTGAATTATAGAACCTATTTAAGAAGATATTTAAGAAAGCTGATAAGGTTACAATAAAAAAAGCTGACAATAATGCATCTACCATTGCTGTCAATAGGTTGAATGACACCTTGTTAGTTGACACCTCACCCAAGCTGATAAGGTTGCTTTTCTTGCTTGACAACCCATTGTCAGGCTGTCAATTACTGGGACAAGAAATCATTGAAGGTAAGACTTTTAAGATGTTAAAAAGCAAAAAAAAAAAAAAAAAAAAAAAAACTGTTTAGTTCCTGAACACTGAGTGAAGTTTTGATGTCTCAAATGTTGTAGGATTTGAGAGTGAACTCAGTGAAGAGGGTTTTAGTTATAAAATTATTGGAATGAGTGCAAGAGCCGTGTGAAGTTTGGCTACACAGGGATAGGAACCCAATCCTCTTCCACAATGATTCATATTTTTTTCCCTTTATATTTTTCTTCCGTTTTTACTCCTTCTGTCATTAAAAGCTGTTTCTACAAATTAAAATACAACACAAGTACACAACCCATCAAATTGATCAGCCCCAACCAGTTTCCAATTTTAGAATTCCTGATTCCAGCACAGCTCAACTTGAGGTATTTCCTAGTCTGGTCATGCATTATACTCTAGCATATTGTCAATCATATACATATACTCTATCCAACCTGATTCTTTTTGTAGTAATTCACGTTTGAACTTTTCTTATACTTCTCCAACTGTCCTTGTACTACGTCAGTTTATACCCCAACAGCTTATAAAGCATGCAAGTTTAGATTGAAATATTTTCTTTCAATTTTGTTCTACGCTACCATAAGAAGGATTCTTCCCTAAGCAGAGCTTCCATCAATAATTATAACAGACAGTATGGTTTCCTAGTTCTGACATAATTGAAATATTTTGTTTTTGGTATCTCACATAGTTTTGGAAGGTAAAACATAAAATTATTGTATACTCCAAAATACATTTCCTTGACCTTGTTCTAGGTTCACCAAAACTTGAGTTCCAAAATTAAAAAGGTTCAATAGGAACATGGCCATTGGCCTGTGTTGGAACAGCAGCCTATGCATTCCGATTGTAGTTTTACTTACCTAGGATAAGTGATTGAAAAAAAATAAAGGTGTAAGTGATTCAAAGCAAAAACATTTGGTGGTTTTAAACTCTTCCTTACTTATATTATCAGTTTTTTCTATTCTGTTCTTGATACAATCAAGAAACTGGATATATGGATTCATGATTCTTTTCTCTTTTCGTCTTTACAGGCTATTGATGGAACACTCCCAAATAACAACTACTGAAGATATGAATGAAAGTGTAGTATCTTTAGATGACATTGTTGAATTGGAGAAAGAAAGTGATGAGTTAAGTGAAGATGGTCAATGTGAAATTATGAATCAAGACAAAGATGGTGATTGTATGCAAGACAATTGCCAAGAAATTATGGGAGATGATAGTGAGTTTAATGAGCCTCCTATATTGGGTAGAGTTTTTGAGACAGCTGAAGAAGCCTACGATTTCTATAATGATTTTGCAAAAGTTAAGGGGTTCGGAATACGTAAGCGTTACTTTAACAGGAGCAGAAGAACACAACAACCATGTTTGTGGAATTATGTGTGCTCAAAACAAGGTGTCAAGAATCTAAATGATAAAAGAATTGATGTTAGCAATGTCAAAAGGCGAAGGGATACACGGACTGATTGTTCGGCGATGTTCCAAATAAAGTTGGTGAACGGATTATGGAAAGTAGAGAAGTTCAATGATTCACATAATCATCCATTGATTAACACTCCATCAAAGGTGACCAAGTTTTCTTCTCATAATGATTTACGTCGCTCAGATTTTACTAAATCCATTGTTTCTAAACTTTATGGGGAGGGTTTAACGTCTTCAAAAATCTCAAAGGTAGTGAATGCTATGAACAAAGAAGTTAACATCACTCTGGATCAAATTAGCACTATTATATCAAGCCAGCGTAAGAATAATGTAGGACGAGAATGTCAGGGCATCATCAAACACTTTCAAAAGAAGTCTGCTCACGATGGATGTTTTTATTTTGATATGCAGTTGGCAGAAGATGGTACGTTAAGAAGCGTCTTTTGGGCAGATGGTAGGTCGAGAGCTTCCTATGGTCAATTTGGGGAAGTCCTTGTCTTTGATGTGACTTACAAAACAAACAAGTTCAAGTTTCCTTTTGCTCCTTTTGTTGGGGTTAATCACCATGGGCAATCAATTTTATTTGCTGCTGCTTTGTTAGAGGATGAAACAGAGGCAACCTTTACTTGGTTGTTTGAACAGTTTCGGATATGCATGTTTGAGAAGTCTCCTGTTGCTATTATTACTGATCAGGACAAAGCAATGGGGAAAGCAATTGCTAAGATATTTCCAAGAGCACGACATCGTTTCTGTGCATGGCATATCAAAAAGCATATTTTGGAGCATAGTCAAGCATTACGTGCACAATTTAAAGATAGTTTTGATGTTGACTTTCATGCATGGTATAAAAGTCGAAGCATAGATGAATTTGAAGACAAATGGGAAGCATTAAGAACTAAATATGATATTAAAGCAAGTAGTTGGTTGGCTAACATGTATGCTTCACGTAACCATTGGGCAAAAGCATACTTGAAAGATACTTTTTTTGTTGGAATGACTACAAGTGGCCGAAGTGAGAGCATCAATGCATTTTTTGATGGATATGTCAACTCCAACACAATGTTAAATGACTTTGTTACCCAATATGATAAAGCAATCAAGTCTAGAAAAGATGCAGAGGAAGATGAAGATTTTAAAACTAGAAATACAAAAGCAAATTTGGAGAGTAATCATCCAATTGAAGCAATAGCTGGAGAGCGCTACACAAGAAAACTGTTTGAAATTTTTAAAAAAGAGTGGAGGGCTGCCACACAAGATTACTTTCACGAAAAGATGTCAACAGACGAGCATAATATTAGGTACCGTGTGGGGTCTCCCAAAGTTAATAAAGAGTTATGGGCAATTGTTGATTACAATTTGATAGAAAGTTCTACTACTCATTGTTCTTGTGCAAAGTTTGAGACTATGTGGATTTTATGCAAACATATTTTGTACATCTTCAAGAAGAAACAAATGATGACCCTTCCTGAAAAGTATATTTTAACTAGATGGACCATGAATGCAAGCTATAAGGCTGAAAATATTTTGTCTGTTCATTCTGAAACAACTACCAGTGAAGTAAGTGAATTGTCTTTGTTGTCAACTCAGTCGAAGTGCAATTTAGCTATTTCTGAAGCAAAAGATTGTTTTCATGAAATTAGAAGATTTGATGCTATTGTTGATGAATTTATTCAACAACAATTAGAAAGAAAGAGAAAAAGAATTGATGAGGAAACCTTAAGCTCAACTGTACCTTCACAAAGTGGTTTCATTCCTTCTCAAGTTTCACTTAATTATGTTCGAGACCCCACTCAAGCAGTCAAAACAAAGGGGCGTCCAAAAGTTGCTTCACGAATTAAATCAAGCATTGAGTTAGCAGCCAAACAACAAAAGACTTGCAGTTATTGTCGAGAGAAAGGTCATAATAAGACCAGTTGTAAGAAGCAAATGGTATTTCTCTTATATTTTCCTATTTATGTTTTTGTTTTTCCTCTTTGAACTTGATAAAAAAATTATGATTTTTCATTTGTAGATGGATGTTGCAAGAGAGAAGCAAAAGGAATAATAGTTTCATTTGAAAGCTGCCCCTGATGACATTCTAGATTTTTCAATGAAGATGAAGCTTTGACACGGCTGAATTGTTTTAACATAGTTGAATTGTTTTGTGCATAAGTTGAGCTATAGATATCTTTTTTGAATGAAAGCAGTTGCATTGTAAAGATAACTTAATATAGTTTTATTTATGGAAAGTTTCAAATTTTTTTGATGTATGTAATGTTCCCAGTAGTTCCGCGAGGCAAACTGTTTTGCTGAAAGTATTTTGAAACGCATTCACAGTTCTATTTGAAAGTTCAATTGTTTAGGATGGGTTCTTTACTGTTGTCAAAGAGTAATACAAAAGATAAATTTGATAAAACAAACACATGTGATGAATAACTCACATTGAATAATTATGTACATGGATTCATATTACATTGACACAGATGTCCTATAATGACTACTAAAATCCAAGTTACAACTCATACACAATATCCTATAATGACTCATCCTACTCATAGTATTCCTTGAAGTCTATGTGAAAGCCTTCTTTTAAAGCATCTTCCATGTTGATTACTTTCATGCCTTTCCTTCTGTCCTATGCAGAATGTTTAAGGACTTCCAATTTCTTCCCAACATCATCTAGGCTCCTGCTTTTGTTGGCCCATTTTAAAATAATCTGCACATAATTAATACTAGTTAACAACGTATACAGAGTTTATATGTTTTATACAAGTTCAGAATGGCTAAAACATCCCAGAAAAGCATGTTAACAATAAATTCACATTAATTTTAACATCTAAGAAGGCAAGTATTAATTAAGCATACCTGAGCCAGCAACTTGCGTCTCATAATTGGAAACTCAATTGACCGAAACACAAAAAGATCAATTCAAAAGAGACATTTTTGTCTGTTCTAATCAGCTGAAAATAGTCAAATGGGATTGGACCAAAAGCTCGAGTTTTTGCTTGCAGTTTTCACCGGTTCGCTTATCTAGTAGAAAAATACTACAACTAAAAAGATATATAGAAAAGGGGGGTAGATTATGGTGCACTTAGAGCTTTGCATCCATCCACTTCTCTGGAATAACTTTCGCTCACTCTATCAGCTATGCAGACTCCCTAAAGCTCATCCTGCAAATAAAAGAAGCAAATAGAATTATTAAATATACATCTTTTGTCAAGCTTGATTCAAGTGACATTAAGGGGATGGAAAAAACCTACATGTACATCCTCTTCCTTGGTTTCAGCATCGTCTTCCCCAGCTTTAGTCTTTGATTCAGCGTCATCAGAGTCATTACTAGCTTCATCAGTATCTTCCTCGTCTTCATCAGCCTGTAGAGGATACAGACTTAATTAGATTTAGTGTAACTGATGATATGGACCAAAATTTAGGAATCATTAGTTCTACTTACATAAGATGAAAAATAACACCTCTTATCTTCCTTAAAAACAATGCAATGACACTGATATAAACCTACCTGTTCAGGGGACCCAAATTCTCTAATATCTTGTTTACTAGTTGGGATCATATTTACACTGACACTTTCCAGTGGTTCAATGACATCCTTGAACACCTTATCTTGACCTTCAATCACTACTTCCTGTCCACACCATAGAAGAAGATGAAGAAACTACTTCAGATTTTACCATGAATATCACGTAATTCATAGTATTTATGCTACACATATGCCCTAACCAAATTGTTGCTCAGTATTCTCGTTCCTAAACATTCGTTGGTAATATTATTTCTTCTAAAATACAAACAAGGTTAATAGCCTAAATTACTTGTACAGTTCTACCCACAAAACATGCAAAGTTATACAATAACTTCTTATAAGATAATGATAGCTGTGAATTCAAGCTCAAGAGACAAAAATAAAATAAAATCACAAACCTTGAGAAAGCAACCCAGTTGAAGAAGCTTAAGGTTCTTGGGCAGCTTTGATAATGAACGAAAACCCTTCCTTTCTAGATGAACGGAAAGTACCATGCTTCTGTAACAATGACACATATGGTCAGAAACAGAGAAAAATGAATCAAATTACCAATTAAAGAATAAGAGAGTACCTGGGGAAAAGAGTTGTGAAAGAGGGTTTCGTGGAGTGTAGGAGAATTCTGCAGGGACGCCATTGTTGCAAAGAAGACGGAAGCACGGTGTGCAAGGAAGCGCAAGAAACAGCGATGTGATGACTATATAGTTTGTGAACGAAGAAACAGAGAAAAAATAGGACGATATCTAATTCGTTTTAATTAAAAAAAGACAAAAACGGTGACGTTTAAGTGCACAGCAGGTATGTCTATCTGAAGTTACAGCTGAAACTTTTTTCCCTATATTATTATGAGAAATCTCATAAAATTATATAAGAGTAAACACCCTTTTTAGTCCCTGTCAATATCTACGAAGTCCTTTTTAGTCATGGGCAATAAAAAAGGACCAAATTGGTCCCTGAAATTACAAAAAAAGGGCCATGTTAGTCCTTATGTCAACTCCCAAATATGTAGAGTGACCCTTTTCTTGTACTTTCAGGGACCAATTTGGTCCTTTTTTATTGCCAGGAACTGAAAAGGACTTCGTAGATATTATCAGGGACTAAAACGGGTGTTTACTCATTATATAAATCAAAATCTCCGTTTTAAATAAAACCGCCAAACTCTTAAGCATATAACATGTGAATATAAAGTTGGTATTTACGTTTAATGAAACCAATAGTCACATGACTCACATCAACTCAGAAACAACTATTAAGATATAAAGTGGGTATTTAATATTTATCAAGTTGCACTTATTTATTTATCTTTTATTTATTTTTTTATTTCTCAATTATTCAATTAGTCCGATTGAAATATAAAAAATACCCTCCCAAAACCGCTTTCTCAATTCACAATCCTGGAGCTCTATAAACTTTTTTGTTTTGGTAAATTGGAACTCTAAACTTTTTAATTCATTGTTTCCTTACACTTATTCAATGCCATATTCTTTTTAGGAGTTTCATGTTTTAAAACGATTGTAGTATTCAAAATTTTAAAAATATTATCATGTGAATTTCCTTTTGTTTTTAACTGTTCTAGCTAGAGTTCCTTGTTCATAGTTGTCTAAAATGTATATATAAAAAAAACATAAATTATTAAGGGCAAAATATTGTAACTTTATGAAATTAATGTAGAGAGAGAATCGGTGGGGAGGGATACGGGCCAGGGAGAGAATGTTGGTCTTGATCCCCATGCAGCATTATGCCTTTCAAAGGCGTCTATAGTTATTTAGTATTGGATTTTTAATTCATAAAAAATAAGGAAGAGAAGGGACTCAACACTTTATTCCCTTGTCTTTGGGTCCGGAAGAAAATCGTACACAGTTCCCGATTCCTTCGCTTACATATAAGACTATAGACCCCATTCTCTTTTCAGGCCCTCGATTTTAGCAGACTCTCGTGAAAAAGATGTTTCCTCTCTCTCTCTCATACACATAGAAATAGGATACAAGGGGCATCATCTTTTTTATTTTCTGTTTTTCTTTAAGCTGTTGTTGATTTTTCACTTCTAATAGGCGCCATAATTCGATTGCATTAGCATATTTATTAGTAAATCTCGGTGACCGGATCAACTTATAACGGATAATTCTAACATAACTGCGGTCTGGATTGGATCGGTTTTAGAAATAAAAATCATTCGATCCAATTCCTTCAGTTTAATAATATAATCATCCATTTGATTTTGATTTTTTTTCAAATCCGATCCAATCCAATCCAATTTTTTTCGATTTGGATGGGATCGGTTTTCAGTTTTTTGAAAATCCTAAAATTTATTTCATAATTATTATGCAAATAACATCTTTTGTATATATTGACTTTGTAATTTATTTTTTTTTGAAATACAAAAACATTAGTAAACTATAATATAGTTTTTGTTTTGGCAATGAGATATGAAGCTCTACAAAGATAAATTTGGTTGATGTGATGTTACTAGATTTTTTCTTGGATTTAGTTGATGAGTTAATGGGTCTTGGGTTTAGAAATTTTAGGCTATGATTAGGGAAAGACCCAAGTAGGCAGAGGGGGATTAATATGTTGGATCAGTTTGAATTGGATCGATTTTCATCAACCCATCCAAAAACCAATCCAATCCAATCCAATTAAAATTTGCAATTTTTAATCGGTTTTCGATTTTTCGATTTTCGTTTTATTCGGTTATCGATTTTTCGGTTCGGTTACCGCGGTTTGAATCGGTTTGGATCGATTGATGAACACCCATAATCTCGAGTCTATGTGTTAAAATTTGTCAATGAACCAACTTATAATATCCCAAAAAATTAAATTAATAAATCTCGGCGTAGAAAACTTCCCAACTTATAAGGATACTAAACGAAGGTTAATTATACTCAACTCTATTCTTATATTTTTACAAAAGAGTTATATTTCCTAGACTCGAAATTTTGACTTTCAAATCGCTGCTACAAAACCCGCCTTATGTTAATATACTTATTATGAATATTAAAAATCAGAGTGAGGAGTTTGCATGCACAACGAGCTACAGACTCAAGATTCAAGATTACTTGGTACCTTCCGTGCCTTAATTTTACTCCCCTTTGAAAAAGAAGAAAATATTAGTTAACACTATGCATAAAAAGAGAAAGTGCCCCCACTTACAAATATCGAAACTTTTTTTTACGAAATTTGGTGTATGTGTGTGTATGAAAGAGAAAGAGAGAGAGAATGTGAGAGAGAGCAAAGCTGAGTTGCCTTTGATACTGGTGCATAGTCCTGCTTGTCAGCACATGCAATCCACTTTCTACCACAAAATCCACTTTGGACCCCAAATTTACCTCACCCACAAGAAAAGCACACACCACACCTCCCATAAATTTCATGCCCTCTTCTCCCTCCTCTCTCTCTCTCTCTCTCTTGCTAGTTTGGTTATCTCCCTCCCCTATATTAGTCTTTTAGACCAAACCACCATCTTTTTCACTCATACAAAACAAACAAGGTTTTGTGCAAGAAATAAGTGAAAGACTCACCCCTTTATATATTATGAGATTAGCTAGATAGGGATAGAGGCCTCAAAAACCTAGCTTCCAACTTCATCTATACCAACAAACACTTTCACTCTTCACCCTAAAGTTCCCCTACTACTCCTAAATTAACACCACCTTATAGGAAACAAGATGCCAACAACACTTTGAACTCACTAATAATTTTCTAGCTTCTTCTTTTCACTGTTGTTTTAGTTGAGAGCTAGATCCTTGAAGAAGATGAGAACAGGAAGCTGTTCCGTGCAACAAGGCCTAACCACAGAGGCTGCAAGCATAGTGAAACAAGCTGTGACCCTTGCAAAGCGTCGTGGCCATGCTCAAGTGACACCACTACACGTGGCAAACACTATGCTCTCAGTTAACAATGGTTTGTTGAGAACCGCTTGTCTCCAATCTCATTCTCACCCTCTTCAATGCAAGGCCTTGGAGCTTTGCTTCAATGTTGCGCTGAATCGTTTGCCAGCATCAACTTCAAGCCCCATGTTGGGAACACATCACTCTCAGTGTCCTTCAATTTCAAACGCTTTAGTTGCTGCGTTCAAGCGTGCTCAGGCTCACCAACGACGTGGATCCATTGAGAATCAACAACAACCACTCTTGGCAGTGAAAATAGAGCTCGAGCAACTCATAATTTCAATCTTGGATGATCCTAGTGTTAGCCGTGTCATGAGAGAAGCTGGGTTTTCTAGTCCTCAAGTGAAAAGCAATGTTGAACAAGCTGTGTCTTTGGAAATATGCTCTCAGAATAACAATAACAATACCAATACTATCCCTTCTTCTGTGAGTAGCAACAATTCAAGAGAGAACAATAACCTAACCCTTTCTCATCATCAACAAGCTGGTGAAGAGAACGTTCCCAACAACAAAGCATTGGTATTGGATCCAGTTAGGGGTGAGGACATAACAAGTGTCATAGAAAATTTGGGGGATCAAAGAAAGAGAAGTGTTGTGATTGTTGGAGAGTGTTTAGCCACTCTTGAGGGTGTAGTTAGAGGAGTGATGGATAAGGTTGACAGAGGGGAATATGTTGGTGAGTCTCTTAGAGGTGTCAAGTTTATCTCTCTTTCTCTTTCTTCTTTTGGCCATGTTTCAAGGGTAGAGGTTGAGCAAAAGATTGAAGAGCTTAAGAGTCTTGTAAAAACAACCTCTCATGGAAAAGGGTATGTTTTGAATCTTGGAGATCTTAAATGGGTGTTTGATTATAGAGACCGTTTTAGCCAGCAAGGGAGAGCTTGTTATTGTTCTGTGGATCACATGATAATGGAGATTGGAAAGCTGGTGAGTGGGGTTGGAGAGAACAATGGAAGGTTTTGGATTATGGGTTTTGCAACTTTTCAGGCTTACATGAGAAGTAAAAATGTTCAACCATCATTGGAAACTCTTTGGGGTCTTCATCCTATTACTATCCCTGCTGGAAGCTTGAGCTTGAGTCTCATCACTGACAGGTAAAGAAGTTTGGTAAAGTTTGATATAATTGTGTGGCTTTAATTCAATCTTTACAAACCCATTTCCGAAACTGTTCCTTCTTTGGATGAATTATCAACTAGCTGAAAATGGGCATCGCAAAAAAGAAAAAGAAAAATGGAATTGTCTTTTGCTTTTTAAAGGTTAAAACTTGAAAAAGAAAAGTTGCGTTGAATGAATTACATGCTAAACAAAATTGGAAAAACTGTTTTTTTTTCTTTTCTTTCTTTTTTGCCCCTTGTTTGATTGTTTCTCTACTATTTTCTGTTTATGTGAAGGAAAACAATGGAAAAAAAACTTTGGCTAAAAGTGTATGTGCTGAAACAAGCAACGTGTCAGTCATTATAGTGTTGCTTTCTTCGTTGATTAGAACTAACAAGGAAAGAGGATTTTCTTTTTTATTTATTTATTTTCTTCTTCAATTAACATTGAGAATCAGTTTCTCTTTTGGACTCCTTTTCCATAATGTTGTTACTATTGTGAATGATCACTTTTGAATGTTGGACATGACCTGAAATAAATGAAGTCAGTGATTTATCATAATCTTATTATCATCATCATCTTCTCTTTTTCCACAGTGGTCTACAGAATCAGGCCACCAACAAGAAAGCTGACAATAGAACTAGCTGGCTATTACTTGAAGGATTGGGTGATGATCAGAAAAAACAACCAGCTTGCTTTGCGGAACCCTCAGCAAAGATTGAGACCGAAGTTCGAAGCTTGCAGAGCAGTACTTGCAACAGTGATTCCTCAAATTCAAGCCTTCCTGCATGGCTCCAACAGTACAAAAATGAGAATAAAGGAATTGTCTATAATGATCAGGTCTTCATTATCACACTCAAATTTCTAAGTTCAAATGAACATAGTATAGCATTTATATTATATCAAGAGAAAAGTGTTTTCCCTCAACCCAAAATAATGTTGGGTTTAGAGAGAGAAATTTTTTTTTTTTTTGAAAATTTTAATTTTATCTTGCAACATCAATTTTTCCAAATCCCAAAAATATATAATTTTAGGATAGCAGAAGATAAGATTATTTCTCATAAAAACACTAAACCTTTATATTATATTATTACTTTCGGAATATATTTTTTCATGTTTTTATATTATTTGAGAAATCTCAGTCAATTATTAATACATCACCTAGCACAATTCTAAAGCCAAGTCTCCTAGAAGAAGAAGGAAAAAAATCAATTTTATTGCTGACGGTAAATGTATGAATGACTGAGATTTTTCAAATAATTATAATTATATTAAGATGAGATAAGATAATTGATTCCATATAATATTATGCACACAGACACACACGTGTACAAAATTTACTCTCGTATGTAGTTTGTAGTTTATACTGTACAATCGTATAAGATGAAAATTAACTTTTCATGTATATTCTAACAGAACTGTGTCCCAGTGGGAGAGCTTTGCAAAAAGTGGAACTCAATGTGTAGTTCAATCCAAAAACAACCTTATCCTTGTGACAAAACCCTCACATTATCTTCGGTATCACCTTCTTCATCTACTTCAGGCTTCTCATTCGAGCCGCAACATCCTAATTTAAACCGAACCTACCATGAGTGGCCAGTGGCCGAACCCGAACCTAACCAATCACTCAACAACCACCATTTCTTGATCTCTGACTGTGGTAGCAACAAGCCCAATGAACCCACTTTGCGAGTGTTCATCCCAGAGAGTAAGGACCCTAACCAACCATTCTCATCAACAAATCCTTGTTCTAACCCTAATTCAGCTTCTTCTAGCGACATCATGGAAATGGAGTATGTGAGCAAGTTCAAAGAGCTCAGTTCAGAGAACCTGAAAACTCTATGCAATGCTTTGGAGAAAAAAGTGCCATGGCAGAAAGATATAATACCGGAAATTATAAGCACCCTTTTGCAATGCCGTTCTGGGATGCTAAAAAGAAAAGGGAAAGTCAGAAGCAATGAGGTTAAAGAAGAAACATGGTTGTTTTTCCAAGGTGTTGATATGGAAGCTAAAGAAAAAATAGCAAGAGAATTGGCTCGGCTTGTTTTTGGATCTCAGAGCAACCTCGTTTCAATAGCCCTTAGCAGTTTTGCATCAACAAGAGCAGATTCAACTGAAGATTGCAGGAATAAAAGATCAAGAGATGAAGCAAGTTGCAGTTACATTGAGAGGTTTGGAGATGCAATCTCTATAAACCCTCATAGGGTTTTTCTAGTTGAAGACATAGAGCAAGCAGATTATTGTTCTCAACTTGGTTTCAAAAGAGCTATTGAGAGAGGAAGAGTTAAAGATTCAAATGGTGAAGAGGTTTCACTTTGTGATGCTATCATCATTCTGAGCTGCGAAAGTTTCAGTTCAAGATCAAGAGCTTGCTCTCCATCGGTCAAACAAAAATCTTCTGAGGGTTCTCAAGTTGACAAGGATGATGTTGCTACTTTGGAGGAGACAAGCCCTTACGTTTCTTTGGATTTGAATATTTCCATTGATGATGATTGTGATGAGCATCGTTCGATCGATGACATTGGGCTTCTTGAATCCGTAGACAGAAAGATTATCTTCAAAGTTCAGGAATTGTGATGAAAAGAATTTCAGGAACACCTAATCTTTTTTTTTTTTTTTTGTTGGGGTCCTTTTTTTGACTTCTTTTAATTCTCTTTATTCATCAATATGTCTTTGTATTCTCGGACATTTTCCTAGGGCTAGGGATGAAAGAAATTGCGTGCCCTTTAATTTTATTTATGTACCTACATGTATATTACCAAGTATATCAACTATCTCTGTTATAGGAATTTGTGTCTTTCCATCAATTTATTATTTCTCCCTCTATTTTTATGTAACTTTAAATCTCCAAAAGCAGACATGAAGCACAAAACTTTTAATTTAAGGGGCACTAATATAAGTTGAGAACTTTTTGATCCTTTTGAATCATAGCCACATAGTTTTACTTGTAATTTAGTTTTAGCAAATCCTATAACATTACGAGTTTAGTTTTGATCAATTTTTCGTCACCGTCAAATATTATCATCTATTTATATATATTATGTTGTATTATGTTATATTATTTTATATTTGTAGCATGAGAAAACATAAAGTTTATTTTCCTTTTGTGGTTCATTCGATAAGAAAGATATGCCCAGGACCTCTATTATTGTTGGTAATTATCACTTCATGATTGTTGATAACATTGCAACTATGTATGGCGCCATAGATGTGAACAATGTAGGTCTATCACTCTCTTACATCATCATACGCGTTATTAGCCTGCTCACACAAAATAATAACTCATCCACCTTTTGATCTCTTGGCTTTTTCTATAAATAAATGTTCGTGTGAGGCCTGGGACCTACCGGTTGCTTTGTTTCGGAATGAATCAAATAAGTGCAATGTACCCAAAAAAGTAAAAAATAAAAATAAAATACATAAATGGTAAGAAAGCAAAAACACAATTAGCATGCTTGCAACTTGGGATAAGTAGAGTCCTTTATTGGCTCAAAAAGCTAACCGAGTAAGATTTCATTAAAAGACAGTTTCCTCTTTAATTAAAGAGCAGCACTATATAGATGAAATCATCCGTACACAATATACATACAGCAGATGAGTGGAACTTTTAAAAGTTTTATTAGTGTTAGGGAAACGATAAATTTACACGTATAAGAATAATAAATTTTATACTCAATTTTAGCTATTGATTTGCATCCATCAAACGACCATAATTAATTATTAGCTCCCAATAACTTTGAGTCATCATCGGCATGGAGACTATCATTTTCGAGTCATATTATGTATCTACAGTCATTATTCCCAATAATAAATAATATATACATTTCTTAAGGCAAAACCACCTATAGACATATCTCAATTTCATAAATTAATTCCTCGCTATTGCAATGTTTCTCGCACACAAAATTATATACAATTTACAAAATTTATAATATCTTTCTTTAGCATCTCTTAGTATCATCTAAATTAAGATATTTATCAAATATCATCATAAACAACAATATGAATGTTATAAACACCGTTAAACAAAGCAAGCCACCTAACATTATTTTATGTTACATTGTCCCTTAAAAATGGTTAAGTAAATAATATTGCACCTTTTTATTCATACAGTCATTGTATAACCAACAAAATTAAAATAGAAATACTTATAATAGAATTTAAAAAAAGTTCGAACTTGGAACAGTCCCCATTATTCACTCACCTAAGTATTGATGAGCCAAGGTAGGAGTCAAGACTATCGTAAGAACTTGCACCGCAAAATTAAGAATTTAATTCCATAATTGACCTTGGATAAATATAGAAAGATTATAATAATTATATTCTTTCACTTTTTAGAAGAAAAGTGCAAACACTGGGTATTTCGCGGTATAAATAGATATCGGAAAAGTATTCCGAAAAATAGAAATAAAAATATGAATATTCTTAGAAAAATATCTAGGTTAAGAATATCAAGTTTGGGGTAAAAATAATAAGCAGTGATGTCAGAACTAATACCAGCTATTTCGCTGTATAAAACGTGTATCGGTGAAGTGTCACGGAAAATTACAAGAAAAATATGATAATTTCTAGAAAATGTTTAGGTTAAGAACATGAAATTTTAGAGTTAAACAAAGAGCAAAACTAATTAAAATAATACTGTTAGTTTAAGTGAATGCACCTATAAATAGCTAATGGCACTAAACCATAGTTCAGAATTTATAACACCTATGTAGATAGTAGATACTGTAACACCCCGTGTTAACCCGGTTTGTTAACATGTTATCGTATTAAGCCACGCTTAATTAAAATATGTTGAATAACTTTTTACTTTTCAATTATGACGTCATTAACTTAGCCAAGTTAATTACTTAATCAATTTCATAAAAACATCGCCTGTATGTAAATTGCAAAAGACAGCTAACTGAAAATACCTCATGAATAAATAAGTGAGTATCTAAGTCACGGATCTACAACACGTAGTCCGGACATAATTCTGATACAATTATACAACTCGAATCAACTAAAAACATAAAGTCAAGACAATGTGGCATGGACAATCCCCATGCTCACCAAATAGCAACATAATCAACAGAGTCTCAGCTTAAAATCCATAACACGAAACTAATAGCATAACAGCAACAAATATCATCCAGCATCCAAACATAAATAGCATAGGCAGAAATATCAGCTAAGCTCCGGCCTCCTGCCGCTAGAGGTCTCAACCCCTGGGTTACCTGAACCTGAAATAAGCGCCCCAAACGTGGGGTGAGATCTCTAAACAGAAATCTCAGTAAGGCAAGGGGTCCTCAAGGATCTTCCACCCCAAGCTCACTTACATGTGCAATATAAGTTCCAAAAATAGTTAAATAGTATAAGTTCTAAAATAGTGCAATGCAGTAGATAATCATGTCATGTGTGTCAATACTAATCTACTGGCCAGAGAAATGCAGGAATACGTCTATTACCCACACTAATGCAAGACGCCAATTGCACCCACCCACAGTGTCACTGTCTTGTATGACGCCACATACTCAGACTAACCGTCAAAGTGGAACAACACATACATATTATAAGCAATTGCACATAAAGCTCAACAGCATTTTCAATGATCAAAGAATGTAAACACATCATGCATATAAATCATTCTCCCATGGGATATGGTGGAACTACACAATGGCTAAACCGAGGACACGAAAGCTTACATGTACCCGTATGCCCCTTTGACTCGAACTCGGTATCACAAGGGTCCACACCACAAATAGAATCCAATACACTCACAGATCTGGTTCAATGACCATCATAGTATCAATATACATATTCTAAAATTCCAAGGCAATCAAATATTATTTTCTTTTCATTTCGAACTGGAGATCCTTTTTAAAACATACCATTTAACTTATTTCCCGGGAAGTGTGCGAGTGAGGAAAAAGCACACTGAAAAGTCTCGTGTTAGTATGTGGGGATAGTCATTAATTCTTGAAGCGGTCGGGCGTTACAGATACAACCTTTCATCCTCTCATTTCTGCCACCCTTTGTTCTTCATGAAAGACAAAGCCTTTCTTCAAGAAAATGCACCAAGACTCATTCTTTCTTCACCATTGATCATTCCACCATGTAAACATCTTGAGTTTGTGAAGTTAGTGAAGAAAGTGAGAATCTTGAAAGAGTATGCTTGCTGCCTTGGTGAGTGAGGAGTGTATCCTTGTGTGTTTTGTGGAGTTGGAGCCATTTCCACCTACTTTCAAGATTCAAGAACCAACCTTTGTGGAGAAAGAACCAAACTTGGAAGCTCAAATTCGTGCACCTTCTTGGATAGTAGCTTGGAGCTGTAGCAAACCTCTAAAGCCTCTTCTTTTTGCTGTTTTCCAGCATTGGGTATACACTATACCCTTTCCTCTTTATTTTCTATGTAAAAGATGAAGTTTTGGGTTGTTAAAAAGAAAAACTTTGATGATTCAAGTTAAAGGTTGTTAATTTAAGTGTGATATGGTAGATTAAACTTCTGTTTTTAGGTAAATCAAAGATTAGAACCTTGAAGGCCATTGGAACTCAAATTATACAGTAAAATATGCATTTTTACTGCATTTTGTGTTTCTGCACAAGTGGTAATTGATTACCTTAGAGTGGTAATCCATTACCAGGAAGGGTGATCGATTACCACAGTATGGTAATCGATTACCTAGTGCAAATGTGACAGCAACGCACTAGTTTGGTAAGATCACGATATCTCAAGCTACAGAGCTCCAATTGAGTGAGGTTTGGACCTATTTGAAGCTAACACACAGGAATACAACCCTGTAAAATTTTGTAGCCATTGGATAATTGATTTGATCACAGTGTCAATTTGAAGTCGCATTTTGGTTGCTGTAAATTCAGTTTGCAGCAGTCACTTTTCGAAAAGCATAACCGGAGTTATACAACTCCAAATGAGACATAAAATATGTCGTTGGAAAGCTTGAGATGTCTAGTTTAACATATTAAAATCTTATAATTTTTGGTGAAGAGCTTCAACTGCAGTTTTAAAAATGGTAAAGACAGTTTGTGCTTGGGGGCTTTGGGAGAAGCCTGCAGTACGTTAAACGAAAAAGAAAACATGTTCCATTGACATGAATTTGTAGGATATGATTATTGATGATGTGTTTGCAATTAAATCAGATTGTGACTCGCCGGAATGTTTGGTTGCTGGTGACCACGTTGATACTGAGTAGGTATTAGAGGACTTTACGATACAGATAAGCTTTTGGTCCTCAGTTTTATCCATTGCTTGTTTCGCCAAACCCCATGGGGGATTAGTTTTTGTGCATGGTATGTTTTATGGAATAATATTTGTTTATGTTATAAAGTATTGGATAAGCTGTTGAGCTGGATTATGAAATTATATCTATTTATGTTATAAGTATTGGATATGCTGTTGAGTTGGATTATTTTATAGTGCATTTGCCATATGTATATGTATGTGGGGTGTTTCACACGAGACGATAATTTCTGAGCATGTCAGGCCACATGCGAGATGATAACTCTGTGTGTGAGGTAAATGGTGGACTCCTAGTACTGTGGGTTGTAGACGTACGTAATCTTTACATTTTATTCTCTGGCCAGTAGGATGCATACACACATGACATGTGTAACACCCCGTGTGTAACAGCCCCAAACCCTGTAGCATGATATTGTCCGCTTTGCCCTCGGGCTCACGGTTTTGTTTCTTGGGACACCCCACAAAAGGCCTCACACTAGAAGAGGTATCCACACCCTTATAAGGCATGCTTCGTTCCCCT